AGTTAGATATGCCACAACACTTGAAAGCTTTTCGTATAAGGTTAGGATCAATTTCATTCCATGCCTGAAGTATCCATTGAGCAATCAAATTATATGCAGAGCATTGAATACGACCTGTCTTAGTGTAAGTTAAGATACCATTGCCTAGCCAATTGTTATAATAATCCCGCATCTAAAATAAAATTATTAAATTATTTATTTAAATATGAGTTTTGCTAAATTAAAACCTGGAACTAAATATTTCAATATTTAGTTCCAGGTTTTAATTTGGCATAACTCATATAATAACAATAAATAAATAAATTTATTGAAGTACCTTTGCCTTAAATGATTTATTTACAGCCACATCTAACGGTTGTAATTTTGAAGTACAACCTCCTGGAATTACGGCTAAATTGGTATTTTTTTCAAAAAATCGACGCTTAACAGTATCTTCTACATGTCCTTTAAATGAATCTAAAACCAAGAGTGAGCGTGGATCTGTCCTTCCTCTACGATTCCATACGTTCTCTATCCACCATATCATTTCATTTGAATTCATCCATCCACTAGGATTTGCACGAATAATTACACCTGCAGGAAATGTTTGCCTTGGAATATTCATAAGTTTAAAAATAATAACAGGTGGAAGTTTAGTTCCATCTGCCATACAGGCGAGCACAACAGTATAATTAGATTTTTCATAACCAGAGGTCCTTAATGAAACCGTATTTGTACCACAATCATCAATTGTTACATTGGTGGGAAGATCGAATGATATAGGAACCTCATCCATATTACCTATTAAGGCAAGCGGATAATTGAATTGAATTCTACGATATACAATCAAACTTAAAAATTCCTGTAGCACAGGTTGTAAATCTTCTGGAAGTTTTTGGGCCACAGTTGTTCTACATCTATTACTTAATTTGTGACGAGTCATAAAGCCATCGACCCATTTATCTGAAAATTTAGCTTCAGAAATATTAGGATATAATGTAGTGTAGGGAGATCTTTTTGATAATGCTTTTGCTTTAAGTTGAACCATTGCTCGTGTTACAGGTTTAAGTGCGCTTCGCAATTCTTTTACCCAACCATAAATTTCATTTTCTAATTCAGGATACTTTGGTGGTCTTCCATTATTTAACTTTCTAATATGAGGTGAAACA